TCGAGAGTGAGTCCACCACAGCAAATACTGGAGGGGCGATGTCTCACCAAAAAGAGCGACATCTTTCTCCTTGGCTTTTTAAGTGTCGATTTAGAAACATCGCTCTTATTGAGTGTGATTCTAAAATATTACTCATATTAAGAGAGACTTACTTCTGGAATCCTCACTTAAAAACAGTGAGGTTACACTAATAAACTAAGTGTGCAACTGCTTCACACTTGTAAGTGTAAGTGTGCAACTGTAAGTTGAATACTTGCAAGTGTGCAACGGAAAGTTGAATACTTGCAAGTATGCAACGGAAAGTTGAATACTTGCAAGTGTGCAACTCAGTAGATGTGCACTTGCAAGTGTGCAACTCCTCGGTTGAACCCTTCCTACACAGTAAGCGTCCAATCTAAGGAAGTGTTCAACTGAGGAGTTGCGCACTTGTAAGTGCACACCTACCGAGTTTAACACTTGCAAGTGTAGAACTGCGGAGTTGGACACTTGCAAGTATTCAATTTGCAGTTGCACACTTACAAGAGTTGAGCAGTTGAACACTTAGTTTATCAGTGTAACTCGGTAGGTCTGCACTTTCAAGTGAGCAACTCCTCGGTTGAGCTCTTCCTAAACAGTGAGCTTTCCATATAAGGAAGTGTTCAATCGAGGAGTTGCACACTTGTGAAAGTGCGCACCTACCGAGTTGAACGTTTAAAAGTGCACAACTTCGGAGCTGCACACTTCTAAGTATTCAACTTGCAGTGTCACACTTACAAGTGTTGAGCAGTTGAACACTTAGTTTATCAGTGTACCCGAGTGTACCCAATTATCACTGAAATAGTTATATTCCTTAATCTATTGCTCTAATCGAGCGAGGAAATCAGACCTCGCTCTCCACAGAGGAAGAAATTTACAGCAAAATGTCGCTCTGGAGATCGAGAATCTTCGCTCTTGGATTTCTAGAGACTGCTCGACCCATACGCGCACACTCTATCTAGAAAATGGCAACGGCAGATTTCTAGCTGCCTTGTATTCTTCGAATCAGGCAGTTTTCTCCTATAGACACGTCACTTGACTTTGCACGTTCGAATGATGGTCTCTCCAGCAGCAGCAAAGTGCACAGTGCAGGATTAGGAGAGGGGGGTTGGGGGGGGGGGGTTCTCTGGTCCCTTCGCCGCCGACGACGCTGCCATCTCAAATCATCGATTCGCTAGCGCAATTAATTGCAGCAGTCGTTGTGCCTCCGCGTCGCCACCCGCGTGCAGCAGCGCCGGCCGAGAGGCGCGCCAGGAGGCGCCGGCCGACAGGGATCCGAGACGGATGGGGCAGCAAACCCCGCCGGGCCGCCGGGCCCGCAGGGTCCCCCGCGGGGTCTATCGCTAATTAGTCTGTTCCACCTCGATTGACGTTCGCCCTTCAACTCGTGGCCGCAGTCATCCTTGTCGCCCACGAGGATCGAACATGAAATGCTGAGGTGGTGGCCGGTGCCTGCGGACTTTGACATCGAGGAGTTGGACCGCAGACTCCTTTGCTCCCCGTGCAAGGGGCACTGTGAACATTTGTGTTCAAAACTGTGTGCTTGTGTTGGCGTTTGTTTACAGTCACTCTTCGGGATAATCCAGAAAGTACGTCCGTCGTTCGCCGCTACGACCCTGCTGAGTTCAGCCTCTATATAACCTCCGAAAAGCGCCTGGTGGGTAGGCAACATCTTGCTTGCAGTGTATGCGTGTACTGCAGGGAGGCCTGCCCTGAGTCTCACAGGCGCGGGGCTTCCGCATCAACCCCCAACGTTTCGGTGAGAAAAACGGATGTACTTTCTAGACGTTCCCCTACACGCACGATAGGCCTGAATCCATAGATCAAATATTTAGCATAGTTTAAATTGAACTTTATCATAGCAACAATGTCAAATGTATTAATGGCTGCTCGACAGATTGCATAACACGCTTTTTTTTAGAATCTTCTAGAAATTACCATACTGTATTGCAGAAAGTTAGTGTTAATTCGTTCTTCCAACAAGCGTTTTATTGTGCAAGATAGGGGAGAGTTTAAAAAAAAAAAAACTAGAGCTAAATGAAAACATTTATGAGCGGTCTAATAGCGCATGGTCCTAATAGATTTGGTATATGTATTAAATACGGCCGAAGATGATTAAGACTAAAAGCGGTATAACGCTAACATTCACACGAAACTACGGCAACGGCACCCAACATATGCTCAGAGGATCTGTCAGCGTGGAAGTACCCGGCCGGGCCGCCCACGGTACTGCACACGTGGACGAGGGGAGGTGGGGCGGCGGGACCGGGAGTGATTTCATTTCAGACGAGCAGGCAAATCGTTTCCACAACATGACAAGAAGGCATGCAAGCCAGCGGTAGGTTGCGGTCGTACTTCGGTAGCGTGAGAGTTGTGCAGCCTTAGTCTCTTGTTGGGTTTGAGCGACCAGGAAGGTTGGTGGCGGTAAGGTGCTCGCAGCTGTCTCTCTCTGTCTCTCTTTCTCTCTGTCTCTCTCTCTCTCTGTCTCTCTGTCTCTCTCTCTCTCTCTCTCTCCCACTCTCCCCCAGGGATATTATTGAGAGCTCACCTGGCACACCGTTAGTACAGCGTGTATAGGTTAGGTGCGCTACTGTTCCATTATACATATATTCTCTCCTGCCGGTTCGATTGAGAGAGAGAGGAAAGGAGAAAAAGAGAGCGAGATAGAAAGAGAAAAGCGAGGGGTGAGAGAGAGAGAGAGAGAGAGAGAGAGAGAGAGAGAGAGAGAGAGGCGAATTCGTGCTCCGTTCTATACGACACGCTGCTTTTCTTCTTTCTCAGACACACGTGTCGCATCGTTTGCCCACATCTCAATCACCACAGATCAGCGACAGTTTGGCGGCGCAGCCTCCCACCTGCCTGCTGCACCTGCTGGACCCGTCGACCCGGGCGGGCTGCGGGGCTGGACCCGGCACCGGGCTGTCCCGTGACCACCGCGGGATCCCCGCGCGCGACGAATCAGTCCTTTTTCTGCCCGACTTTGCGCAGCGATCCCGCCCTGTTATGGTTTTGGGCCTCATTGTGCACCGCGTGGAGCGGTCACCGTTAGGACGCGCGGCTGCAGTCACTCTATCGATGATTCTGTTTTGATGACGGTAGCATCCCCCCCCTTCCCCCTCTCCTCGTCTCTCACACACAATGAGGTCCGGCCGTTCTGCCATACCGCCGTTATACCGTTTAGCTATTTCGATGGACATGACAAACCGCGAAGCATAACAATTACAAAGGACACGCGGCCGGCCGCCGCCAGCGCAGTGTAGGTGGTATAACCCGCGTCATGACCATTATGAGGAGTTGAACATCATGTCTCACACGCTCGTCTCTCCCTCTCCCATCTCTCTCTCTCTCTCTCCCTCTCTCTCTCTCTCTCTCTCTCTCTCTCTCTCTCTCTCTCTCGTGCGATCTCTTTTTCTGTCTAGCACCGTTTCGCGCGGACGCAGCAATAAACAATGGCACACAGTAGTGCCCCTCTCTCATCGGAATGTTTGCCGGAGCCTCCGATTATGCAAGGGCAGCGGGCTCGGCCAGCCCCGCGGCGCCCAGCAGCCCAGCGCGCCCAGCAGTCCCGAGGCGTCGCGACCAAAGCCGATGTGCATTATAATTACAGTACATGCAGGCCAGTGTCATATTTTTTGTCGTCTTCAAGAAGTTAGCAGGATGTTTGTGTGGTTTTTGCAAACGGATTGATGGTTGTTGGTGTTGATACAACAGACCGAACTTGTTTCAAATTTAAAAAAAAGGAATGGGAACCCAAGAAGCAAAGACGGTTACTCTAAGATAGTATGATGATAAATAGTACGTAGGGTATCGTTTTGGCAAGACTGGCGCAAGCTCTTCTTACAATGCGTGTTCCATAATGTAACCTGAGTGAGCTGACTCATTGAAGTAATTTTCTTACAGAACGATAACTGTGGCAAACTTTAATTACATGTGATATATTATAACACATTAATCGAGCAAGATCCGCAATGTTTAGGAACTATTCAAATGGGTAAGAACGGTCTGTTAAAAATCAACAACATGCGATATCAACGTTATAAATACTTTGGCTTACTTTCCAGTTTTAGGACATATCGATCGATAGATAGATAGATCGATCGATACGTTTTCGTGTCAGGCCGCGGCATATACCATTGTGAGTGGTCCGATCTCAACAACAGTACTGTAGCGGCCCGGCAGGAGCCGCATGGTAGAAGAGCTTCGACCAAACATAACGTGATGTACGCTCACGACCCATTTACCATATTCATACACTGTCGGGGAAGTTCGACCAATGTATGGAATGATTGAAGGCAGATATTAGGACGGATAAGCCAACACGTCATTGAATTTTTCACCAAAAATATTCTTGGACTTATATACTATGGTTGTTTCGCCAAGTCAACGTTCATGATCTTATTTTCTATATCTCTTTAGATGAGCAACCATCGGCAAAATTAATGCAAATAAAAAGTTCGCCCTAGAACACTAGTAGCATTTACAGAAGTACCTTTTTTTTTAAACCCAACGACCGGTATATGTTATTTAGTTTATCGATAACGCCGCATTTACTGAAAAATGACAAAGTTTTGCGCACAGGAGTATGAACAAAACATGGAACACTTCGGAGAAATACATTGGTCGTTATCCCAAGCTATAACATGCTGCTTTGGGCAATCTTTTTTTTTTTTTTGATGTAGTCAGTCCTATTTATACTTTCAGCTTTTTCAAAGACCTATTTAACACACGGATATAATAAATTACTGTAATTCTTTCAAGGTAAGCCAAAATGAGCAAAATTATGTTTCAAAATTGCACTGAAATACTACACCAAAAGTGAACGCTAGTATTTAAGCACATTTTGCATTTGAGCTAGTAAAAAATTCGGATGAAAACCAAACGAGAAGCCAATTCCTCGTTTTGCTTATTAACATGGGATTACTAAAAAGACATTGATATTTCAACCAAACAGTAAAGACACGAACAGTAGACGAGTTCTAACTCACCCCATCTTTGAGTTTCTTGCTGGTACCAAAAGTCGTAAAGTCCCCTTTTCTTTTGCACTTTACACGCACGCGCCACACACGCACACACACGCAAACACTCGCACTGCGCACTACACAATCACAAGCACCAGACACGCACACGCGGACACCCACACGCGGTGTAGAGCCAGCCGCGCCCAGCCCGGTGCTACAATGCAGGTACCGGTACCCGAAGTGAGCGCCACCGCGATCTGCAGAGAACTGCACTGACAGCTGTTACGCGCCACGGCGGGCGGACCAAGGGCGGCCCGGAGGGGGAAGGCGCGGGGCGGGCGGGCGGAGTGGGGAAGAGCGGCAGTGGCTGCGCTGGAGGGAGGGAGGGACCACGAGTTTATCCTACTTTGTGTGAAAATATCCGCGTCGTTTGTTGTAGGACCCTCTCCCCCTCTCTCTCGCCCCCTTTCCCTTCCCCTCCTCTTCCCCCCTCCGAGGCGTCGGCCAATGACGTTCCAAGCCACGAGGCCCCCTCCAGGCGTCGTCACAGCCTCTGCTCTCTCTCTCTCTCTCTCTCTCTCTCTCTCTCTCTCTCTCTCTCTCTCT